TCTGTGGCCAGATTTGAATTCAGCGCACCGAATACCTTCGGGAAAGTATAGTCTGGTTTCTGGGTAAAAATTTTGTCGGCCTGTGTTATTGATTGACTTTTATTCTTTTCTCTTATAATAATTATGTCTCTGTTAGGAAGTGTTGCGACCTTTTGAATAGCCGCAAAAAAATCTTAGAAGTTTAACTAAATTAAAGGCTATCGTCAGACTTAAATGCAGTTTTATATAGATAAATTAATTCCTTTTTTATTTTCTATCGAAATGTTTGCGAATTTGTTAGTGTAAGAAACGGCAATCTAAGTATAAAAAAGAAAAAGAGTTGATATAAAAGGGGCAATAAAAAATCAATACTTGGCGCTTACACTTTTGCTAAGTATTTGGCCGAGCTTCTCCTCCAATTTATGTTGTGCGTCCTGTGTTATATCCAGTGTTGCCGTGGTAGCATTTGTTTTTTTCGGTAGTTGGTAGCATGATACAAAAAAGAGGGTAGTTTCATTACTACTATTTTTTTATTATAAAGCAGGTTTTTGACATTTCTCCAGATGTAAACATTAAGCATAGCTTAGCCACATTGAATTTTTTTGGGAGGGGAGATTTTTTTATGAAATATTTGTGATTTAATAGAATAGTAAAATGTCCTTTGAAGAATATCAATCTACAGAGATGAGGAAATAAAAAAAATCCAGTTTTGGCAACTTTATTTATTAAAAAGCTTTAGATGGTAATAAATAAAAATTTTTTTCTTAGGTAATTTTATTTTAAACGAAATAAACAGATTTAAATGACATGAAACAAAACAATAAAATCAAGGTTGTAATTTTGTTGACATTTTTGCAGACATTTAAAGTTTTTCACTCTATTTTTATGTTCAAGTATCTTATTCTAAAAAAAGGTTCTCCCAAAAAAATGACATTTTAGGATTTTTCATCTAATATTACTATTATTGAATAGAAAGTTGTAAATATATAATTTGGATCAATACTAAATAAATGGCCATTCATTTTGATCAAAATTGAGTTAGTTTTCTCCAAACATTTCAAAAACCATAATCATCGGAAAGTAGATTTATGTATGTACGTAAAATATCATTGACAATCAATACCTAAACTCCGAAAAGATAGCCACATCTGGTATACTGACGGCTCTAAGATCGGCCATGGTGTCAGAGTGGGAATTTACGGCATTCAACTCAGATGGCTGCTTTTGACACGCAGTCAGTCGTGGGTTTACGCCATTGAACTATGTCTCACAGCAGGTTGGCGTTACTAGCACTAAAATTCCACGAGCTCACCCAGACAGCAAAGTCACGATCAATGAAGTAGCATATATTTCCTCCAGAATGGGAACTGCACGGGAACACATAGCAGCAGGGCCCTTTATTGTTCTGCGATGGAGTTACATTAGGTGTAATCTGGATATACAGAAAGTAAATAAGCTAAATCCTTTATCAACATGAAGAACAAATCCGATCCTTCTTCTTAGAAGATACGAAACAAATGAAAGACTTACCTGATAGTTAATTTGACTCCAAACTAACGTTTGCGAAGCACATGGACATTATTCTGTCCAAATCCTTTTGCGATGGTTGGCTTTATAATAAATATGTGCATTTAATAATAAATAATTTTTGCGGTGGGCAACATATTAACGGATTTTTGATTTCACTGAAGTCGTTGGTTGCTTTTGTTGCAAATATGAAGATGTATTTAGGAATTTAAAATTTCCTAACTGCTCGCAACAAAGACAAATTTTCTGTTTATTTTGTAACAAAAAAAAATTGGGGAAAGGTATGGTAGCATGAAATGTCACAATCTGCTTAATTGTCAGGTAGTTAATATGGCGCCCGAAATGTGACAATGAAACTACATTCTTTTCTGTATCATGGTTGGTAGCTTATAATGAATTTTGGGAGATTTTTATCACACCTATAAAGAGAGTGTAGTGAAAAGTTCAGAACTCAAAAATGTAGAATTTCAAAATATGTAATTTTTTATATGATGTGCTAGAAATAATCACAGATCATATCTACTCGTATATTTAACTCCCAGCAAAAGCTGGCGTAGTATTTCAATAAGGCGGTTCAGGATTTTGTGCATACATATGATCTTGTAATTATATATTTCGGGGCATTTGTAAATTAATAACAATAAAATGCAAACGGTTGCCGTGGTAGCTAGAATAAAATTTGCAAGCGCAATTCCAAATGCAAATCCAAGACCATTTCCACAATATCAATGCCCTTGTGTAGTGACATAAACCCAATTTTTTAACTTGGTGACATATTTCCAAACTAAAAGGCGACAAAATTACAAATCCCTCATGTAATTTCGCAAACCAAAAGAATTTAAAATGTGCAACAGTAATGATAAAATTTTTATCACAACACTGTCATAGAAGCTGGTTTTAGTTTGAGTTTGAGTTTGTTGAGGTTCCACGACGTGAATACAAGAAATTGTTTATTATGTACCCTTACAGGTAAAATTATCGCGGCGGGAGTATTTTTGCGCAGAAAAACGTTTAATAGACAATTTGTTTTTCATTTCTTGAGCGTGTTTTTATATGCTTTTTTCGATTTTCTTGAGAGCTGGCAAATATGCTTTAGGCTCAAAAGTGACATTATCCCAATTGGGGTTATGACACCTTATAAGAAGGGATATAACCCCGAGTAAAAAAATCTGCTTTCTTTCACTGCATAAGGAGTGCCATAATTCCAAATTTTAAAATTTGAGTTATACCTCTTGGAGTTATGTCATGGTACCCTGAGTAAATATGAAGACTGCAATAACTTCAAGTGGAGGCAGATGTAGAATCGAATTCAGAGCTTCAGCAGATGAAGAGCATACATATATGTAGCTCCGCACTTTGAAAAAAAAAACAAAAATGCTGAATTATTTCTTTCTATTATTAAGGGTGCGATGTGAAGTTTTACATTATGAACTACCACATACTTGCACAAGCGGTTAAGAAAAGCAGACGAGCAGTTTTCAAATTGAAATAGCATACAAACTACAATGCTCATTTCTTTATAATCTCAGTCGTTTCAAAATGCTTTCCTAGAAGTGGTAATTTCACAGGGGTGAACATTTGGTATAAATCAAGGGTAGCCATGTCAGTTAAACAGAGCGATTGCGGAACGTTATTCTTAAATAATTCCTTATAGATACCGCAGTGTTTTTTTCTTTTTTTTCAGGCACATATGTGCTTGGTAATGTAAATAATGTGTAATTAATTTCTATATCAAACTAACTAAATGAATACTAAAAAAATCTTCAGTACTTGGCTGTCCTAAAGCAAAAATCGAAACACTTACTAACAAAATAGCATCTAATAATATTTTTCATAAATTTACATCTTCCTTTCACTTTTCTTAGAAATTACATGAGGCGTGCTTCCCAACATGTAAGCCAAACTTCAGCAGTAATCCTCAACGGGACTTAGCGTACAAGCCGAGCTTGCCGCAGGGATGGAAAGCACCAAGTGTCACATTACCAAAAGGTGGGTAAAGTAGAAATTAAATGTCAAAGATTAGAACAAAAAAAGTTTAATGTTATGAAAATTATGTGCTTATGAGGCAGAGGAGTAGCTTAGTGAGTGCTTAGCAAGCTATGCTGCTACTTCTGGCAAATTTGTTGACTTCCGCATCATGCTGTGGTGTACCAGATAGTAAATTTGATTTCAGAGAAAGAGCACGTCGTAAAGTATTTTGCCCAAGAATATTGAATAGGCGCCTGCTTAGAGTATTTTCTGGCATCATTGGAAAAGGAAATTTAGCCGTTTCTCTCTTGAATCAAAAATCGATAAAGCAGTTGCTGAAAATATAGAGCGCTGTATTTTTATTTCGCTCCGAGCATTAGAAAAATAACGCATCAGCTTTTAGGATACCATCAGGCTTAAACAAAGAATAAATGTTGTTAAAGTGACATTGTTTTGAGTAAGAATCCTTTTTTCGAAGCTCGCTGTTTTATTTGCGGTGCGACCTAAAATATTGTAAACGATTTGCATTAACCCATTCGAAAACGTTTTGTAAAATAAATCAGCTCAAACTAGAAAATACTGTTGAACAATTTCAAAGTTTAATTATGCGCTGAACGAAGTAAGGTCAAACGTTAATATCCATGCGTGGTAAGCAAACTGCAAAAGGATCTAGTTACACAATTTTTCCACACTGGGTGAATGTGGGTCCGATCTTTAGTCATAAAATAATCGTTTTACATGTAATTTCATGTATAAAATGACTTTAGACATAATTATTGTCTTTAGACAACTATAGTAAAATTTAGCGACAGTTTACCCTCGTTGAATTGTTTAACGCCTGGAAGGAAGAGGAAAGGAATTTTCGTAGAAGTTCACTAAACATAGTAGTAAAAAGTTCACAGAAGAAACAATAATTCAATGGTTAAAGATGAATATGTTATACGGATTAAACGAAATGTTAGTATATTTTCCTTACAAATAGAATTTTAGGTAATTCGATGAATCACTAACATGTATAAATACTAACGTTTGGACATTATTTCATTGAGGTCCTAAAATGGGTGTATCCGTGTATGAATTACTTTAATGTTTAAATTTTTTTTTAACAAGTTTCGCTTTTTTTAATTTTTCTGGATTATTAATTAGAAACATTACTTAATAGAAAACGAAAGCGAACGGCTTATAAGGGGTACACTTAAAGATCTCGAGACTATAGACAATAGAGAGGACGATCAAGAGATCGTGGCTTTCAATAAATTTGCCGAAACAGCGTCGGAAAGCGAACTTCGACGTCCAAAAGAAGAATATATTGATAAGAATAAAGTATCGAAACCACGTGAATTTCTTGATTATCTCATACGTTCGCCCGAGCTGAGGGTTTCGCCCATATCGACAAAGGATCTGTTGGCATACAACAATGCGATCGGGGAGTTAAAGGAAAATAGAGTTGAGCGACATCTTCATGCGACCAAACAACATCAGGAGCAGCAACAACAACAGCAACTTGTTCAAGACAAGGACTTAAAAAACGAAGATTCAAGTATGGACAAGCGAGAAAAGCGCATAATGGTCCGTGAGCAATTGGAGTTGTTGGAAACCTACCAAAGCCAGCTGTTGGAAGAGCAGCAACAAGAGATAAAGCGTTTGCGCCAGCGAGAACGACGTATGCAGCAGCAACAAAAATTAAAACTACAACAGCTGGAAATAAAAGTTTCGAACCAGGGAAATTTACAAAACCAGGAAGAACCACAACGAAAAGAAGAAGCCAAAGAAGGAGAAGAGGAGTACGTGAAAATTGCTGTGCGTGAGCTTATATCCAACTATGAGCAACAATTAGCTGAAGAGGAGCGTTGCGCTCAGTACTCGCTGGTGACTAAAACTAGCAAACCTGCTGAAAGCTCGAAATTAGCTATCATACCCAAAAATAAAAGCGGCGACGAATCGGATAATATAACAGAATCTATATTTGTTCGCCATACGCAACCGTGGGATGACGTGGAGAAAGACAGTGGTCAGCAACTGCAAATTACAACAGCAGGCAAGCTACTCCCTTATGTGTGTGTAGACCAGCGTGCGAGTGTCAGTGTTACCCCTCCCCAGTCTACAAACAGCCTAAAGCCTCGAAAAGCCGTGTTGCATGAACCCCCTTAAAGTCCAAAAGGAAGTGTTATTAACTGTAAATAAACTGACGACCCATTTGAAATATATGTATGTATATAGTACAACATAGGGCACACCGTCTTCAAAAGAGGCAGAACTCAAAAAAAATGTTGGTCGATTTTTCTCAATTTAATGCCAATATTTTTTCTTTATGATTTTATTATATAACTAGAAAACTGTTGTCTGTTTTTTGGATCAATTGCGTCGAATCTTTATGATCCACAAGCAGTTACATTTCCGAATCTTAGTTTTGAGTGGTGCCTCTTTTGAAGACGGTGTGCGATATGTAAATAAACTGAAAATTTTTTCAATATTTTAATGATAATATTAAATGTTTTCGAATGTTTTTTTCTGATGAAATTTTTAAATTTGTATAAGTAATTAATTTTTATATTTAAATATGAGAATGTATTTTTTTCTTTTAATGAAAGAGGGATATAATTTTTAGGTTAGCCCTTGACTTTATTAAGGGTTAATTTTTTGGGGAAAAATAAAGGACTTCGGTATTTGTGTTCGGCGGCTCCAAATTAGTTAGAAAACTGTTGTTTTTTGTTAGCGTTATTTGTAGTGTTTCGTTCAAGTGAAATATTCCAATGTACATACATATGTAACATGAAAATTTTGTACATATAAATAAAATAATTTCTACGAATGTTTAAGCGCTATCACCTCGGCGCGAAGTGCGCTTTTGTGGCAAGCAATATCAAGCAATAATATGTTCATGCGTTTGATTACCTAAAGCTGCTAGTTTATTATTCCAGCAGCAGTGGAAAGCAAAACTTAATCTTTTAAGATATAATAATAAAACGCTATTTAGGCTTAAATGCAGTTTAAGTTTATTTTATACTTATTGAGAATACGCATAAGGTGGTGTTTCATTAACTGTGAATGATGCGTGATTGTCAACATTTCGCTAGTAAGCGAGTGAAAAGTAAAAATCTTTGTATTTTTTTCTGAAATTTGACAATAGCCCACTAAAAGCACAAACAAATACATGTAATTGTTATACTTTTATGAACTATAACTATACCAGTTCCTCGTAGGAAAAAGTAAACTAGTTGGTAGAAATTCTTGTTCGTAAATTGGTATTCAATGGGGAAGTAATACCGGTTCGTCATGGGCTGTAATTACAAATATAAATTTAAAATTGTAAATTTAATTTCGTAAAAAAACCAAAATTAAATAAAATACATACTTGTTATGGGTTGCATTCGATTTTCTATCTTCGATTTTCTATATCGAAGATCGAAAGTGAAATTCGTATTATGAGCTATGCAAGCGTGTCGGAATTTTCGTTGAATATCGAATTTTCTGTTGAACAGAATTTTGCTTTCGTTGGTGTAGCGAAGTGCCAGAAAATTGTGAAAAATGTATGATTTTGCATTTGTTTTCTCACTTTTTGGCGGCTAGACACTAATTTTAAACAATTTGTATTAATTTTATGCAGTTACGTGACGTTAGACGTCGTGCATACTAAACACAAGCTCGAAAGTCTGGTTTTAATTATGAAAGAAAATCCCAATACTCGGTTGGCACGATCTTTCAGAACAAAATCATAGAGCTGTGTATAGTTTTAATATATTTTAAATAGATTTGGATCACAAAATTTCTTAAATTTATTGGAAAGACTACACTTAAACTCTCTGAAACGTTTTCTGCTCCTGGCCAGTTTTCTAAGCTCTCATCCTCTTACAAGTCGTTGAACCAGAGTGGTTGAACGAGAACTCCGTTGTACTAATTTTTACCACGTTTTTATAAACTCGACTTCTTTTTTATTTCATTTTAATTTGCACAAATTTACATATGTACATATAAGCACACTATTTAGTTTGCTCGATTTATAAACAAAGCTTCTCAGCGGTGAAAATATACTATTGCGAACAACGTAAACGAACGAAATTCACAATAGCGCTATTCTTCATCGAATGTGCGCCATAATACCAAATGAAAATTCGTTCTATCAGTACTTTCGACCACTTTCGAAGATCGAATGCAACTCATAATAGGGCCCTATATTTCTTTGCGATGTTGCTTTGACAAGGGCTTGAAGCTAAACACTACACCACAGCGGCCGACATTGCCATGTTAAAAATACCAGTCGCTAACATAGAAAAGGTATAACGCGAACTACTTAGGTGGGTTGAAACGCAAACTGGTAGCATTCTAGTTCACTACAGTTCAGCGCATAACGTTACAGGACGGTTAAGTTTTTGCTTTTACTTGAACTATTGAACTGTGTGTATGTGGTCGGTGTAAAAAGAAAATACTGTTTGTTTTTGCCGCTGTTCGGTGGTTGTCGCCCAGCTATCATCTGTCCTGCGCTATGCGTAACAGATGCGAATTCATATAATTGACAAATATAAGAATTACATGTAGAGTGCTTTTGCTTTTAATGAGCTATTGTCAAATTTCGGGAAGAAAATACAAATACTTTCATTTTTTCGGCCGCTCACTAGCGAAATTTTGACCATCTCGCATCACTCACAGTTAATGAAACAACACCACCTTATGTGTATTCTCAATAAGTATACAAGTAATTTTTAGCAAAAAAAAAAACCGACTTAAAAAATAAATATATATATATCTATATATATGATCCAATGATCGGATCAAAACCAAATTAGTATGGGACCACCTCTGAGACACTACCTTTCCGTTGCAAAAAGAATTATCGAAATCGGTTGAAGTGGTCCAAAGTTATGCGGTAACATACATAAAAAAAAAAAAAAGGTTCCGACGAACTGATAACCTCCTCCTTTTTTGGAAGTCGGTTAAAAATAAACTTAAACCTACTTTAAACCTATATAGCATTTTATTATTATTTCTTAAAATATAGAATTCGGCTTTTCACTGCTGCTGGAATAATAAACTAGTAGCTTTAGGTAATCAAACGCATGAATATGTTAGTATACTTGCCACGACAGCGAACCTCGCGCCGAGGTGATAGCGCTTGAACATTCGTAGAATTTGTTTTTGTGAAATGTGCTAACATTTTCTTTTCAGAAATTATTTCAGAAGATTCTGCAGAACAAAATTGTAAAGAAATTTTTTTTCTAGTCATATGAAAAGTCGGAAAAATTTCTATTTGTTTATAAAAAAATGTATGATTTATAAAAAATATATATATTTTTTATTTTTTATTTTATGTCGTCTTAATTGTAATAAAATTCTAGTCATGTGATTAAAATTCAAACAGCTTTCATAAAATATTAACTGAGAAATAGCAATATATATATATGGGGCATTTCACCTCAAGTGACCCAACTTTTGAAATCTATGTCTTCCGATCGGGATGAAATTTGCACCAAGATTAGTCCTAAAAAATAGTAGTTATGACACAAAATTTCAATGGGATCGGTCAAACACACTCCGAGTTGGAGGGTCTAGAATTTTGACATTTTGGTCAAACGGCCATTTTTTCGGATCCATATAACTAATTACCTATTGTATTTAGAAAATTTTTTCAGGAATGTTTTCGATAGATTTCTCTTCAGTCTTTACAAATTTTATTTTTTTTTAATTAAAATGAATTTTTTTAAATTTTTTTTTTAAATAAAAAATAATTTTTATGTTTTTTTTTCAAAAAGGGGTATTTTTCTTATATTTTTTTTTGCTCAAAAGAAAGCTTAGGTATTTTTCTTTAAGAGCTTTGTGGTCGCTTAGTGGGATGCAGCTTGTGTATCAATCAAAATTAGCGTTTAGTAACTCGAAACAGCGGTTTTTTTAATTTTTAATATATGACCTATTGTCTTCTTTTTTTCGTATTATTGTGTAAGTGTCTCGGAAACCTGAAAATAAAACTTATATGAGAAGGTATATACAATTACCTTTCCAACGGTATATAACACGCCTAACCAAAGTTTCATACCCTCGATACTGCCATTCCTGTAGTTAAGGATGATTAAGATTTTTCGTAGTCTAACACAGCAGGTACTCGATTTTGTGCATCCAAACTCTTTATTAATAGCTTTGCAGAATTTTGAGTATTAGATTTGCATACCTACTAGCACAATATTTAAAAGGTATGAAAAATATGGGATTTTCCGGTAGTTAAGGATGATTAAGATTGTTTATTTTTTGCTCAAAAGAAAGCTTAGGTATTTTTCTTTAAGAGTTTTGAGGTCGCTTAGTGGGATGCGACTTGTTTATCTATTAAAATGAGTATTTAGTAACTCGAAACAGCGTTTTTTTTTTAATTTTTAATATATGACCTAAGTTTTTCTGAAACCTGAAAATAAGACATATAAAAAATTAGATACAATTACCTTTCCAACGCTATATAACAATACCCATAATATGTACACCTTTGGAATAAAATAACTGTTTTTCTATAGAATTGGTCAAAGTTATGAATTTTTTTTTTATTTAGAATAGTTTTTAATATATAATTTAATAAATAGATACATAAAAAGTATACAAGATAGTTAATTTTATAATAGCCAGCCTTCCATCCACTTTATTTTCCACCTTTCTTTGTGGCTTTAGTCGTCAATCCTTTCTTACGGTTACTGGGTTCTGCTGTTGATTTCACTTCGGGTTTCGCTTTTGGAAAGAAATCACATTGGGTAGAGGAAGAAAACTTCTTTAACTTGAGCCTTCCATCGCCAATCGGTATGAAAGCATGATATTGAGCGGTGCCATCGATTGTGCATCGAATCTGCTCTTCAGTGATTTCGCAGTTTCCGCATGATCATCTTTGCTACTAAAAATTATTTCAGTTTCTTTACAGTACTTCTTTGCCCACCGGAATAAAGCTTTCGCATCTAAGATACGGGCTTGATGAGAGCATTGGAGGCTATACTTCGCTGCATTTCTTTTAATATTTGCTCCTATACCATCACATGCTCCTTTACCATGAGCAGTAGGATGGAAATGCCACTCAGCTGGTGTATCGAAATCTGTTTCATGAGCCATAAGATTTGCGAAGCTACTTTTGTTTTTAAAATGCTGACGAGCTCCATCCGAAACGTAGTATACCTTCGCTAC